AATGAACCTCCAAGTAGGGTGCTTTTTGTTCAGGGGGGGGGGGGTGCTTCAGGGCTCAGGAATGTGCTTAATGTCTGTTGGTTCTGTTCTGCTTCCACGGGTCCATCAGGATCTTCGTTGTCAAGCAAGTTGAGCTAGTTTTTATCAGACGGTTTAGGGTTTTGGGGAATTTTGGGATTCGGGTGCAGAGTGGGTTAAGTCTTACGGTTCAGGGATGAAGATCCCTTTAATTTAAATTAGTTCAAACCTGATGGGCCTCGAATCCAAATCCCCCCCCCCCCCCCCCCCAACCTACCCAAGCACCCCCACACCCGCACCAACCCCCACCCACCAACCCCCATCAACCCCCTCCACAAGGCTTCTGTGCAGGACTTTCAACAGCCCGCCGTACTTGCATCATCATGTCCACTTCAGACGCCGCAATCTCCTTGCCTGCCTTTAGTGGTCAACAGCTCGGCCCATGCAGATGGGATTGATCAAGTGATCTCATATCAGATCTGCCTGGACCTCCTCGGTGATATGAAGCTGGAGTGAAGCTGACAATCAGACCAGGGTCAGTTGTTGTACATGCAACAGCTTTCAGCGCCTATGATTTAAGGCTTAGGGGGAATGTATGGGAATACAAAATCACGGAAGCTGCATCATTTGCCACATATGGAAGCTATATCATTTGCCACACATCTATCTTCAAAGATGGCACTTCATTAAAGGTACTTGACAGCCACGCAGCTTTGATGGGGAGTTGGCCTGCATCGCCAAGAGACACAGAGAGAGAGAGAGAGAGAGAGAGAGAGAGAGAAAAGAGAGAGAGAGAGAGAGGGAGGAAGGGAGTGAGGGAGGAAGGGAGCGAGGGAGCAAGGGAGGGAGGGAGGGAGGGAGGGAGGGAGGGAGGGAGGACCAAGACGCAGGCTTCAACGATGTGCTTGGATTTCAATCCCAATCTGGGCGTTTGGGGCAGGGGGGGGGTTCTTGTTCTAAGATGCCGTACTAGCTAGGACACCTAAAACTACCCTAAACCCTCAACCCTCAACCCTCAACCCTCAAGCCTAAACCCTAAACCCTAAACCCTAAACGGTTGCCAGGCCTTGTTCATGTGGGACTACTATCGCGAGAACTGCCAGCAGCTGCCGGACTGTTTAGGGTTTAGGGTTTAGGGTTTAGGGTACAGTACTGCGTTCTAGCTGAGGGTTAGGATTCAGCGTTAGAGGAGTTAGCGTTGGATGCAATTACTCTTGTGGGGTCGGGTTTTGGGTTTGGGGGTTTAGGGCGTAAGCTTTTAAGGCTCCGGGGGTTTGGGTTTCAGGGCCAGGGTTACAGGATATAGGGTCTGCGCTGTCTCCTGCCGTTAAAAACGGCTCGTTTTCTGATTGAACGCTGCAACTGTTAATACTACTGCTGTACCAAACTCACGTTAGGGTGGCTGGGTTTAGGATTCTTGAGGCTAACCCTAAACCCGAAACCCTAAACCCGAAACCCGAAACCCGAAACCGAAACCCGAAACCCTAAACTAAACCCTAGACCCTAGTCTTTTGAAGTCTGAACGTGAAAGGGAGCCCATTGAGCCTTTACTTGGAGGCCAACCGTTTAAACGGTGCAACTCTACTTGCTTAAGAACCCCCCCCCAAAAAAAAAAAAAAAAAACTTTCCTTTCTAAGGTTAATGTAGGGATGATTCTTTTTGCGTTTTTTTTTTTTTTTGGGGGGGGGGTTCTTAAAGCAAATAGTAGTATACAAGGATCTTGATAGCAGCTCAGGGTCCATCCCCGAAGCCTTGGGGTTTAGGGTTTAGGGTTTAGGGTTTAGGGTTTAGGGTTTAGGGTTTAGGGAGAATAAGGCACCCCGAATGTGGCGTACGTAGGGTGAACTGACAGCCCTGCTATACATCTTCAACAGCCTGTGTACACGCCCTGTAACCACCCCAAAGCGCTTAACCTTCAATTGCGGGGTCAACTACTTGAAGGGTCACGGGGAACTTAGAAGAAAAGCGTGATAGGTAGGAGAACTATGGTTAGAACCTTTTCTGTATGGTGAGTGTGACCTGACTTATAAGGACCAAGTTCAGTGGCGTCCTGTGGGCCTTCATAAACCCGGGGTTGGGGATTGCCGTCGGAATTAGGCTCAGGGATTTTTGGGGTTTAGGGTTTAGGGCTTAGGGCTTAGGGTTTAGGGCCCTGAAAGCCCTGGGCCCTCTTCTTATCTCAGCACTCTGGCTTCCTTGGGAAATGAGCCAGCGTGCGGGCGGTTTAGGGTTTAGGGTTTAGGGTTTAGGGTTTAGGGTTTAGGGTTTAGGGTTTAGGGTTTAGGGTTTAGGGTTTAGGGTTTAGGGTTTAGGGTTTAGCGTTTAGATTTGCCAAGCCGGCTCTGGCATTTGTAAAGTCGACGAAGAGTGTTTGTCGGGCTTCGGCGACGAACCGGGTTTAGCCCTAAGTAACCCGAAATGCCCAAATTCGGCCAGGACGGCAGCTGGGTGTCTATGGACCTGAAGCTGCCACAGGAGCGTTGGTTTCGGCCTTTTTTGGTGCTCTAAAGGTACTAGGGTTTAGGGTTTTGGGTTTTGGGTTTAGGGTTTGAGGGTTTGAGGGTTTTAGGGTTTGAGGGTTTGAGGCTTTGAGGGTTTTAGGGTTTTAGGGTTTAGGGTAGGTTCCGGTACCACGACACAGATATTCCTGGACCTGGATATCTTCTTAGGCACTTAAACTCTTAGGGTTTAGGGTTTAGGGTTTGGGGTTTAGGGTTTAGGGTTTCAAGATCCTTGGACGCAAGAAACCCACGCATGGGACTCCACAGCTTGGATTCCCTCCTCCTCCGGGCGTCGCAAGCATCCCAAGCATCCTATAAGCCCTAAGCCAAAACAACTCAACTAAACCCCCTAAACCCTACCAACAAAAGGAACCTAAAAACCTTCAAAGAACCCTGAAAGAAGCCCCTAAAACCCCTAAAACTCGGACAGCCCTAAGCCGACAAGAACGAAATCAAGCACCGACTGGGGGGAAGGGGGGGGGGGGGTGTTAGTGTACTTTAATGCATGTTTTGGATTCTGGGTTCCTATTATAGCCTACTTATATCCAGAAGTATGCCTTTTTTGTCAGGATCGACTCCAAAGTGGGGTTCAGGGTTCAGGGAGGCTTTTGGCTTTCCGACCATCCCTTGTCGGGTGATCTTCGAGTCCTCGAAGCGTCAACGCATAAGACAGTTTGCGAGGTTTTTTGGGGTTTGGGGTTTCGGGGCTTAGGTTTATGACTTTGGCCTATGGGATGGGGATTTGGGGTTTCGGGTTTAGGGGTTAGTGGTTTAGGGATTCTGGTGTTAAGGGTTTGCAGGGTTTAGAGTTTAGGGTTGCCAGGCGCCAAACAGTTGCACTGAAAAGCATTGGTTTGAACCCTGGACCCTGAACCTCAACCCTACGCCCTTGACTAGACAGTAAAGCGGCAGCTGCGAGCTAAATTATGTTTGGGGTTGAGGGTTTTGCGAGTTTTGACTTGAAATGGTATTTAGAGATCCGCTAACACGGGCACCCCAAAAAAGGGACCATGATTTGCAGAACTGACCATTGGTGTAAAGGCATGTTCCTGCATTTACGGGTGTTATCATATTGCCAAACTACGTAACTAGGGCTTTGGGTTCAAAGATGGGCCGTAAACCCTTTAACCCTACTTGGAGGTTCATGCTTATCAGTAGGATTAGAAGTAGGGTATCTTTGGCTATAACCTTACTGAGGAGACTTGTACTGTAACCCTAGTTCTAGTACCCATGAACCTCCAAGTAAACCCCAAACCTCAGCCTTAACTAGGGTTTGGGCTCTGTGATCACCAGCAGGACCTGGCCTATCGCCCCCTTGCACTGATGTTTGGCTTCCTGCGGACGCCTCAGGGAGGGAGCCGACTTAAACCCACAAGCCTGCTTCAGGTTTAGCGTTTAGGGTTGAGGGTTGAGGGTTTAGGGTTGAGGGTTTAGGGATATTAGGGTTGCACCGGGGCCCCTATAGTTTTCATGGCTGAGGAGGCACGGGGCAGCAATGCTTGGAGGTTTGTTTCTTGATGTTGCTGAGCTCTTGTGGGAGGAGGCAGTTCCCAATAGCAGCCGGTAGAAGCCTGGGACAGAAGACTTGCCTATACTGCGGATGTCGCTCATAACTTAAACCCATCGCGCCTTCCTCAACCAGAAGGTTACCTCAAACCCAAGTTCAGGCTTTTAGGGGACACAAGCCCTATGGACCGTAAACCCTAAACCCTAAACCCAAACCCTAAACCCTAAACCCGAAACACAACTGAAGCAACAGACGCTCCAGGCCGGAAAGCACTGCCGATCCCGTTTGGTCAATGCCGGAGACGGCGCCCCATGGGCGGCTTGGAAGGGTTTAGGGTTTAGGGTTTAGGGTTTCGGGTTTGGGGTTTCGGGCTTAGGGTTTAGGGTAAACCCGAAGGCTATAACCCTTAGCCCTAAACCCTAAACCCGAAAACCCTATACCCTGAGCCCTAAACCCTTACTTACTTATCCAATAGCTGAACTTTAACCTTTTTTGTATTTCCCTACTTAGTAGGAATAATGAAGTATAACCTTTTGTCCCCTTGGTTTCTGAAGAAGTAAGCTATACCCTGAACCTAAGCCCCAAGGCTCTGAGCCTGGAAGCTGAACTGTAGATGAGGCACCTGTGCTTTAATTTCCGACAGCATCAAACCAGCGACCTCCCTGGTCAAGAACAAGCAGTCACAAAATCGAGCGATGAGAGATGCGTATCGCAGGTTGGTTCCCGAAAGCTGCTGGAATCTGCTAGGAGATCAAAAGACAAGGGGGAAGCCGGCAACTGTAATAGTCAGCAATTTCTTGTCCTAACATGTACCGAAACTGGACTTTCAGAGCGCGTCGGGACCTTTTCGGCTCCATAGACACCCCTGCTGAGTCACCCAAAATCTTCCCAGGTCATTCCCAAGATCGCAGTCGACGAAGTAAGTAATGTACAATGGCCCTCGAGCATCGGAAGTACTTTCAGAGCCTTGGCCCATGGCAGAGCCCAGTAGCCACAAGCCATTCTTGGCCTCACCAGCTATCGAAGATCCGGTGCAGATAGAGCTGGTCTCATCGCATGCAGAATCGTTGACATGCAGAGTCAAAAACGATCTGGCATATGCAGTCGAGGTGAAACTTGAGGACTCCGATGTGTGGGAAGTGCTGTATCCCACCTGCTGCCTCGAGTTGGACGCATCCTCTGACCTCCAAGTGTCGGTCCGGCTCAGGGATGATGCGGAAATCAGAGGGGTTTGCGAAACCGCACGACCTGGCATAACCCTGTGCACTTCTACGGATTTTGGACCTTTCTATGTTGCGGCGGCCACATTCATCATCGATGAAAAAACGGCAGCTCTACGGGAGGCTGTACTGCGAGAGGACCGTAAACGAGAGATGGGCAGAGCACTGACCCGAAGTGTAGACAGGGCATGGGTTCGAACGAAGAGCGAGATGATGTACATGCTCGCCGTTGTCGCCACGCTGCTGTTGGCACTCATGATCTTCTGCACGGTCTGGGCTTTCCGAGAGGAGCGCCAGCTACAGGCTGCAGGGCTTGGCCTGGCAGCAACACTGCTGTGCTGCTGCACATGCGGGGCAATGGACGGCTCAGCCCGGTCAGGTCAGGCCGACATGGAAAGCGTCAGAGCTGTTCGGCCGAGCCTGGCGGGCGTCGGGCGATCCAACGCCGAATATTTCGAGCCATCTCAAACGCTTTACTTACTTTACATCTGTTTGTTTGTCATCAGCTGCATCTGCACGGCTGCCATGACAGTGGCCTTCCGCATGAAAGGCTTCGTGTGGCAGATCGTGCTCCTTTGGCTGTTTCCACTGGTGGCGGGATGCTGCTTCTGTTGCAACCTGGAGGACCAACGACGAGCCTGTTGTTGCCTTTCTTGGCCTGAGCTCCTGGCAAGGTGGGTCGGCTGCCACCGAGTCATCGCTAAGCTGAAGCGGCCCGGGAAGGAGGCCCTTCAACGTGCCATCTTGGACACGAACCAGAAGACGATCGTGTTCGAGGGCAACGTGATCCCTGGCCGGAACACAGTGAGTTCCTGGCCAGGCAAGTATGAATCAGCCTGGGACACCTTGGTGAAGCGTAGTCGTCAAGATGGCCTCAGCGCAGCCGTGGTCTTCCTGCCTCAGGGTTCCGAGCACTTCGGTGTCCATGACGAAATACCGAAGGAGGATGCGAACGGTTTGCCGCCTCACCTCACAAGAGGATGCTGGTGCATCCCCTTGTACGGAGAAGAGAAACCGTGGGGGTGCCGCTGGTGGTCCCGATGGATTGAGAACATTGAGCGCGCGGTCGAGCAAGGTGCCACCCTGGAAGTGTATTACTTTAACAAGATGGTCGGCAAGGGAAAAGTTCAGAGTTTCATCACAGCAGGTGAAGAACACCTGCGGCGAGAAGAGATATTCAATCGAAAGTCTGATTTCAAAAAATCTGATAGTTTTCTGCAAGCCTTACAAGCTGGCCTTGGGAAGCTGCCCACGGACAAAGGGCCAGACTCATCTTCTCCTTACAGCCGTGAAGAGCATCGTCTCTTCCTGTCTTGGCTTCCAGAGCAGGATCGGAGATTCCTCGAAGAGTCCGAAGGTCTCGGGAATTCACAGAAAGCCGAGGTCGCATGGCTGGAGAGGAAAGGCTATGACTACGTTGAAAAGGAGGTCGACGCGTTGGCCCCAACAGGTCCAGCCACACCTGCGACGTCAAGCAGCGTCCCTTCTGATTCGCCGGGGACGTCATGCAGCGCTTGACTTGCAAAGTAAGGATTGCACATCAATATAGTCTAACTGCGATGATTCTGCCAAAGCATGGCAGAACCATGTGGGATGATTTGAGACGCTGCAAATCGCCAGAGATATATGGCGAAAAGTGCGGAGCCCGGTTTCGTCGATCTCTCCTGGCTCAAGTTCAGCCCGAGGGGCTTAGGGGGCCAAACCCTATAAACCCTAAACCACAGACTTCCCCCCTGAACCCTAAACCCTAAACCCCAACCTCCGAGAAAGCCCTCGCAGCCCAGGTCTGGCTGAGCGGTTCACTGCGGGCTTGGCGACTTTCGCCTCACTGGGGTGAAGCGTAGCTAGGGTCTAGGGGTTAGGGTTTAGGGGGTAGGGGTTAGGGTTTAAGCGGTTTAGGGTGTTGAGGGTTCAGGGTTTAGGGGTTAGGGTTTAGAGCTCGGGGCTTGGAGTTTGGGGTCTAGTGGCTTTGGGGCCAAGGGTTCTAGGAGGGTTACGCATTCGATGGCTTTCTGGGATGATAGGGCCCTAAGGAGCCCTACGTTCATCAAGATCCGAGCTTTTCAAACTAGGAAACTGTCTCCAACACTTGCGGGTTCATGCGGAGTTTTTGGCAGTGTTGCAAGTTATCCTCATTCTGCTACCCCAACTACTCACCAGCCATGAATCTGCGCGTAATGGTACAGGCCCTCTCTAAACTGGAGATGGCCCCAGCTTGGCAACGGCCTTCGCAGCACCAAAGTGGCCGAAGGGCCTAAAAGACGCACTGCCCAACACCGCGTTGCATGTACTAGTATTACGTGCCAGTGCCTCCATATCATAGTGCGGCAGGTGCTTTTAGTTGCTTTAGTTGCGCGGTCCCTAAGGGTCCATGTACCTAAGCATTATATACTCGGGCCTTAAAGCACCTCCTATACAGGGACTTCAGGGCCCAAGTATATAAACATGAGGTACATGGACCCTTAGGGTGTGTTTAGGGTGGGTCTGGGGCTAGGACACTATGGGTGGCTTCCCCCCATCCCCCTTGTAGAAGCCCTGCTTAGGGCTTTAGGGTTTAGGGTTTGGAGTTTAGGGTGCGGGGCTTCAAGGTTTTTAAGCGTCTCCCTTCGCGCCCTGCGATTTTTCGACTGCATCAGGTTTGGGGTTTGAGGGTCTGTGTTCTGGGTTTCGGGCTTAGATGAGGGTTTACGAATATAAGGGACCCCGAATATCGACCCCGAATACGAGGATTCCCGTATAATGAGAACCGCAATAAGGCGCCCCCTAGTATCGAAAACCCCCAGATGGGCTTCGGGCGGTTTACCCTAAACCCTAAACCCTAAACCCTAAACCCTAAACCCTAGAATTTAGCGATCAGGGGCCAATAGGTGCAGCCGCTGGATCCCAGCTGTGTCAAGGTTCGAAGGGAGAGAGCACACTGAGTACTTAAACCCTTAACCCTAAACCCTAAAGCCTAAACCGTAAAGCCTAAACCCTAAACCCTAAACCCTAAACCCTAAACCCTTGTGGGTGCAGGCTGGAGTGTAAGCCACACAAGACCGTAAAGGGCTACTCCGGGACAAGTGGGCCATGCGAAGTATGCGAAGATGTGCAGCGAAATCTGGCATAAACAGCGAACCATTGATGTGGGGCAAATAGCTTCTGTCACCAAAAGGCTACCTACAAGCGGAGAACGTGCATTCATAGGCTTCTCAGCAGCAGTCGTTCTTCATAGTTTTTTGCCGCATCCTCGGCCACGTAGATGCAATGGGGCATCCGCTTCAAACTGTGTGGCTGATGATGGGAACAAGGCCCAGGAATCATAAGTGTCTAAAGGGTCCACGTACCTGCCTGGGCCTTAAAGGGGTTCCTACGTAGTGGCACAAGTACATGCTACATAGGTACCTAGGCGTCAGAACTATGGCTCTGTTCGCTCAGTGAGTCTAGCGGGTGGCCCATACTTCGGATCCCCATTAAATAAAGGTTGTCGGGTGCTGGATTCAATTGCAGGTTTTGCAGAGCTTCTTGCGCTCAAAAGTTGGCTGTGTGGAACATCTTTCTCATAACACGACCTGGAGGTTCAGGGTACTTCTAACCCCAATCATAACTGTACTGATAAGTACTGATAAGCCCCCCCCCAAAGTCCTCGAAGTCCCTTAAGTAGCTCATAAGTAGACATAATTGGGGTTAGAAGTACCCGTGAACCTCCCAGTAGCGAGGGGCCTTGCAAGGCAATGAATGGCATGGGAAATTGTACGTACTCAAACCCTAAACCCTAAACCCTAACCCCTAAACCCTAAACCCTAGACAGGTTTGGTACTTGGTACTGAATTAAGGTTACCTGGGCTCTCCAAGGCGTGACCCGGCACCTCACCCACCTAGGCCCCAAACGCTGGACCGTAAACCCGAAACCCTAAACCCTAAACCCTAAACCCTTCACCCCAAACCCTAAACCCGACATCCCGCCCCGCTGGCTCAAGTTTTTGTGAAGACCAAGCCCTCTGGGCAGTTCTCTGAATGTTGGGGTCCTGGGTGTTTAAGGTTTAGGTTCGGGTTTAGGGTTTAGGGTTGTCAAAAAGCGCGTGGTTTACGTTGATGACCTTAGGTTGATTCTGCTAATACGGGACTACAAGACCGAAGGAAGACTTCCGTATCAGCACCGAAACCTCCCCTCCCCAAAAAAATGAACAAAAAAACAAAAAAGAAGGGTTTAGGTTTTAGGTTTTAGGGGACCGCTATTTATTTTGGAGAACTGCCCTAGAAACTTTTAATCAGGTTGCTTCGCTACCATGAGGCATCCACCATGCTTGGTCTATGCGTTCTTGGCCTCGGTACAAGTGGTGTTGGCTTCGGTTCAAGCCTCGAACTGCAGCAACGACGCTGGGCAAATTGCTGAGTTTAGGGTTTAGGGTTTAGGGTTGTTTTTGTTGCAGAGGCATACTTACATGAGCTGCTGTTTCAAAGCATCGTTGTGTGTTCCTTATCATTGGGCGTATGAGGCTTAGGAAAAAGCCCAAATAAGGAGCCAACAACCAGGAACAAACTGATGATTTTTACGTAACACCTCTACTATTGCTCAGGATGGGCCTCACGATGCAGCTCCTTTGTTGCAGGTCCGCCGGGGCTCTCAAGCAGCTAAACTTTGCCTTATTGGGCGTCATGAGAGTAGGGTTGAGGGTTTAGAGTTTTAGGGTTTGGGGTTATGAGGCTTGACCCTCCACTTGGAGGTTCATGGCTGTGTTCCCCAAACCCCTATACAGCCTCATGTTGCCCAAAAGGGTTACGGGTTGAGGGTTTAGGTTTAGGGTTTAGGGTTGGGGCTCCGAACCCACCTTAACGAAACCCCAAACCCCAAACCCCAAACCCCAAACCCCAAACCCCAAACCCCAAACCCCAAACCCCAAACCCCAAACCCCAAACCCCAAACCCAAACCCCAAGCCCTAAGCCCTAAACCCTAAACCCTAAACCCCAAGCCCTAAACCCTGGCCCTGCAGGTGCGCAGCAGGCAGGGCACGCTGGCCGGACACCAGCGAGCCTGGGCGTGGGAGTTTCTGGGGGGCCCTCGGGTGGAATTTTGGAGCTCTCCATGGACTCCCCCCCCCCTCCCCTCCCCCCCCTCCCCCATGACGTGGGCCCCCCTTAAGGTTCCTAAATGCTAAAACCCTAAGCTGAGGTACAAAAAGGAAATTAGAACCCCAAGCTGAGGTACCTCAGGAAACTCGAATGAATCATGCGGAGCCCGATGGTTGGGGTAGCCCCCCCAAGGAGGCCATCCTTGCGTGGAGTGCCATGGAATGTCGACAGGTTGTCAAGCCCGAAACGGTACGCCCGCCAACCCTGAAACCTCTGGAGAGGCAGAGAGTTACTAGCGATAGCGACATAAGGTGCAGAAGACGTCGCATTCAGGAGTGCCTTCCTGTTTACCCTAAACTTTCTGCACTGATCCCTAATCCCTAAACCCTAACCCTCCTGAAAGTGTGGGGCGGCTGGTGCTGTGATTCGCCCAGGACTCCTGTTCCTGCAGACGAACGAGACCCACTGTGCCGAGCGCCTCCCATACGCCCAGGCGTGCAAGAAAACAGCGTAATTCTAAACCCTAAGCCCTACACTGAACCCTAAACCCTAAACCCTGAACTCCTAAACCCTAAACGTACCCTAAACCCTAAACCGTGAGCTTCTAAACCCTAAACGTTTAACCCTGAACCCTATAGGAAACTTTAGACACGAGAGTGAGTTTTTTGGGGGTTTGGGGTTTAGGATTTAGGATTTAGGGTTTAGGGTTTAGGGTTTAGAGAGTGAGCTTTTTTGTTGAAGGGCTCCCGAAGCTGATACTTGCCAGCGATGTCCGTTCCAACCCTCACAGGAAGAATAAGGAACACTTCCATGTTCAAGGAGGGTTTAGGGTTTAGGGTTTAGGGTTTAGGGTTTAGGGTTTAGGGTTTAGGGTTTAGGGTTAGGGTTTATTCCGATGTCCGTTTTTGTGCACGAACCAATAGCATATGTACTTGACTATACGGTGTATGTTATTCTCAATCCCCAAACAATTCATGCCACGACTCCCAATTCCAACCTGCCAGTTCTACACTTCTCGAGAGTTGGTGGTTTCCCTAAGTTCGGGTTTGAGGGGGGTTTAGGGTTTAGGGTTTAGGGTTTAGGGTTTAGGGTTTGTGGTTAAGCGTTTAAAGCTTTTTGGGCTGACTGTCTGTAGGCATTTCTAATGGTGGGGGTAGGAAAGGGGGGCCGGGGGGGGGGGGGGGGGAGTGTTGTAGGGGATTTGTAAAAGTTCTAGTCATACTTTGTTGTAGTCCATCACCGTTCTCTTTCTTGATTCACCCATCAAAGCTGGCAACTGTAGGGACTGGCATAAAGCTATTGTCTACACTCGCGCAGGCATCGGGGAGGTATCGATTGGCTTCTCGCATGTGACACAGCCGATAGACCCGGTACACTGTAGTACAATAAATGGTGGAGAAAGCCCACCGTTCATTCTATGAGTCAAGTTTGTCCAGCCGGCCTCGTTGACCCTGAACATGAGACC